TATGTGTATATATATATGTATATGTATATGTATATATATGTATATATATGTATATGTATATATATGTATATGTGTATATATTAGGGGTGTAACGGTTCTCGGTAAAAAAATCGAACCATACCGTTCTTCGCCCACGGTTCGGCACGCACTTGCACCGTGGTTCAACTTAAATCTGACAACGCATCTGTAAAATGGTTGGTTAAAAATAACAACATGTAAAACAGAGTTCGGCTAATGTATGTTTCTGTTGATAGATATGCATTCTGGCTTCCCAATACATTATAACAACAGCGACAAACAAAAAAAAATGTGCACACACTCTTTGTTGAAGGCGAGTGTATGAGTCATTGATGATGTCATCACCCGGGTGTTGATAGTGAGACCTGAACAGCACACATTGCTATCTGTGTTTAAACTAAACTCATTTAAAGGAGTCATATGATGCGATTTCAATTTTTCCTTTCTCTTTGGAGTGTTACAAGCTCTTGGTGCATAAAGAAGATCTGTAAAGTTGCAAAGACTAAAGTCTCAAATCCAAAGAGATATTCTTTATAAAATTTAAGAGTCAGCCACGCCTACCTAAAACGGCTCGTTCTAACACGCCCCACATATCTACCTCACTATGTGGGAAGATTTGCATAATGCCGCCCAAATGTTCACGCAAAGAAAGAAGGCGTAACTTTTATTCTCGCTGTAGTATTGTTGTTGCTGCCGCAGCCATGTCGTGAAGACGCTGTGTTTCGTTGTGAAAGCGAAACTACTTTGTGTGGTCTTCCAAAAGAGGACGTTAGCAGCATCATATGACCCCTTTAAGCCTTGCCAGTTTAATTAGTAAATATTAACTAGAGCCAGAAGACGTGAATGAGAAGCTTCATCCGAAGTGCCAAACTCGCGTCTCGGAGAGCGCGCAAATACGGAGTTCTCTTTCAAGACTTGTGCTTGAATGGATAAATTCACACAAAAATTGTCAAAATGCCCATCTTGGTGAGGATCCTAGCAGACTAATAGTTGGTTGAACGTGCAGTATCGGTGTACTGGATCCGTGCATTGTCTTAAAGTGACAGCACTTTCTTAATGTTAATCAAACAACAAAAGACAAGGAAATCACTCACTGCTCTTGATTGAATAGCTTTTGTAACTTTAATATTCTGTTGCTTGTAATTTGTAATTAGGTTATGTATATGGAATAAATGCACAAAATATATTTGACTTGATTAACAAGACAAAAAACAAAAAACACATACGACATACAAAGTATGTTGCATTTGGTTCACTTTTGTGACATGCTCCACAAACAAGTTCACAGAAAGGAAACCAAGATGACAGAAAGTGCTTCCTGTCATCTTGTTTTCCTTTC